AAATATTACCAGTGTGTCATTGTGAGGTTGTTCAATCCCTTCTGCATCCTCGTCATTGAAAGACAAGGTTTCTTTCGGTAAGTAGTCCCAAGTCCATTTTTATTTTGTGGTTGTCACCTTGGTGCGTTTGAATACTGGTCCTTGAGGAATATCGACCCCTCCAACGATCATGTGAATCACGTGCTTGTTAGGTTTTAGTTTTAATAATGAAAAATAATATAATTGCTTTTAGTGTAGGAACTCAAGGAAATCAACCAAGATCGAAGTGCAAAAAGAGAAACAATCAAAGCTGAAGAAAGAAATCAATCAGAGATTGATGGAAGCATTCAAAAGGATTGATTGAAGTAATCAAAGGAAAGGAATCAGTGTTAAAAAGGAAAAGAAGCACTAAAGATCCGACAAAATAATCAATCAGAAGCTATTACTAGAAGGATCCAGATTTAAGGAGCAAATCCGGCGGCTATCAAGACTTAAATATGGAAAGCTGTCAAAGTCCACACACCAAGGAGAGTAATGGGAATAAACCGTATTCTTGAAAAGAACCAATTTCTTCCATGGATCAAATCTCTTGGGTTGGCAAATCTCTTCAGCTTTAGCGGTCTCCTACAAAGTATTTATACGCAACCTTAAGACTTGGAGATATACTTTGATCGAACCATCTACCATTTTTTTTCTACTCCAAACAAGCATTGTAGTTTCATTAGATCTGTTGTGTAACTAAGCGAGAGAAGAAAAAGAGATAAAGACTGGTGAGGCATTGTATCAAGAAAAGAGAAGAGTGATATAGATACTAAGTTATTGGTGTAAAGCTACGACATTCAATCTGTACTCACGAAATAACGATCACTGAAAGAGAACACCCTTGCAACCCAAGGGGACTGGACTAGGATTCACATTAAATTCAAACCAATATAAAAATCTTGGTGTCTTTACTTCTTGCATTTAAATTCTGTATTTTTTATTATTATCTTATCCTTACCTCAAGTCGACTAATTGTTCATCTAGTCAACTACTGATAAAAGTTGTTAAAAATAAGCAATTTACCCCCTCTTGTATTTTCAATTGGTAACAGAGCAAGTCTCACATTTTTCTTTTGCTTAACAGCTTGTGTGAAAAGATCATGGCAAATCAAGTTATTGTCGGAGCATTCTTCCAAGAAGGAACATCGCAAGTGGTGCCACCGTATTTCAATGGACAACATTTCTCTCACTGGAAAGTACGTATAGAAATATACGCAAAGTCTTATGATGTCAAGGTCTAGCGAGTTATCAAAAAGGGGAACTACTCTCTGTTGGCTGCTGCTCAACCACCTGCTAATCCTGAAGATATAGATGAATACACATATGAACAAATGGAAGTTGTGCAAGTTAATGCTAAAGCAAGGAATCTGCTTTATAACACTATAAGTGGTGAGAAATATGAGAAAATCTCCAATCGTGATACAGCCAAAGAGATGTGGGATAAACTTGAAGTTACTTATGAAAGAACCAGTAAAGTAAAAGAAACCCATATCAACATGTTGGTTCATAACTACGAACTCTTTCATATGAAAGAAGGAGAATCCATTGAAGAGATGTTTGCCAGATTCAGCAAAATCATTAGCAATCTAAAAGCTTTTGGCAAACCATACTCAAGTGGTGATCAAGTTAGGAAAATTCTGAGAAGTCTACCCACTACTTGGCAGACAAAAGTGGTTACACTTGAATTACAGGATTTGAACAAACTATCGTACGATGAACTTCGAGGAGAACTTATAGCTTTCGAGAAAACTCATCTCAAGAAAACAAGCCAAGAAGAAAAGAAGAAAATAGTTGCTTTCAAGACTACAACTGAAAGAGCAGACAATGATATTGATGACGACCCTGAAGTTCTTCAAGAAGAAATTTCCATGGTATCAAGTAACATGTATGGTTTATTGAGGAGATACAGGAATACAAGAAGAGGCAGGATACCACCCAGGCAAACTAGCAATATAACAAACAAGACAAAAATGATGGTAAATGATATAAGTGTGGAAGATTTGGGCATGTTCAAGCTGAATGTGTTGATCTTAAAAGAAAGGTTTCCAGAGGTTTTAACAAGAACAAAGCATTTGGAAGCTGGAGTGATGAAGATAGTTCAAAAAATGAAGAGATAGTAAATCTATGCTTCATGACAATTCTGGAAAACGACATAAACAAACTCTCAGGGTGCTGGACAGATGAGGACACTTTAGATGACGAGTGCAAAGATGAAAATGAGAACTGCTTCATGGCACGATGTAAAACAAGCAAGGTAAGATATTATAATTTTGAAAGATGTAATGAATTGCAGGATATTCTTGACCTTAATTTGAAAGAGTCTCAAAAAATAATGAATGAACTAAAGAGACTCAATAGAAAAAAGAAAGACTGGAAACTCAAGCTTGAAATATGTGAAATTGAAAAAGAAGTACTTCAAGAAGAGTTTCAGGAATTGCAGATACAACTCAATGGCATGCGCAAATCCACCAGTCATAGTTCTATCAAGTCAAACCAAGCGACTTACAAGTCAACTGGAGAAGGATCAGTCAGAACAGAGTCCACTAGTACTAACACAATTGGAAGATCCAAGAATAAATCAGGACCTATGTGTCACTACTGTAACAAAAGTGGACATAATACTCTTTTTTCGATTTCGTAAATCAAACGTCTCAGGGTAGATTTGAAAACCCAAAAACAATCTTGAGTCCAGTAATACTAACCAACAAGGACCCAAGAAAATTTGGGTACCTAAATGGAAGTGATAATTATGTTTTGCAGGAACATCACAGAAGGAGTCGCAAAGGAAAATGGTACTTAGATAGTACGTGTTCCAGTCACATGACATGTGACAAAATCTGTTTAAAGAAGTTACAAAAATAGATAGAGGAAATGTCAAATTTGGTGATGAATCAAAAGGGAAAATAGTCGGTACCGGAACAGTTCCTTTCAATAATAACTGTGATATTATTGAGGTTTATATTGTTGACAAACTTAACTATAATCTTCTACGTATAAGTCAACTATGTGACTTGGGGTATAAAGTAAAGTTCAAGAAAACAGGTTGTGCTATTGAAGATGAGACAGGTAAAATAATTCTCCTAGGAAAAATGTATGGAAATGTCTATATTCTTGATGGTTTTGAAAATATAGATGGTCATATTTGTTTAACATCCATATCTGATGATATATAGTTATGGCATAAGAAACTTGGTCATGCAAGCATGCATCTGATAGAGAAACTATGCAAGCATGATTTAGTTATTGGTTTACCTAAACTCAATTTCTCTAGAAATCATATATGTGATGCTTGTCAGATTGGTAAACAAACCAAAAACTCTTTCAAAAATAAAGATATTGTATCTACTTCAAAGCCTTTGCAATTGCTTCATATGGACTTATTTGGACCTACTAGAATTGCTACCATAGGAGGAAAACAATGTGCTTTTGTTATTATTGATGATTACTCACGCTTTACTTGGGTGATTTTTCTATCTCACAAAGATAAAGCTTTGAAAAATTTTGAGATCTTCTATAAAAGAGTCGAAAGAGAAAAGGGGTATCTTATTACAACAATTCAAAGTGATCATGGAGTAGAATTTGAAAGTAGAGCATTTGAAGATTTCTGCAATGATCAAGGATACACCTAAAATTTCTGTGCTCCAAGGTCACCCCAACAGAATGGAGTTGTTGAGTGGAAAAATAGGACTCTGCAAGATACGTCAAGAACTATGATACTAGAATTTTACTTGCCAAACCACTTCTAGGTAGAAGGAGTAAGTACAACGTGTCACATTCTCAACTGTACCTCATAAGACCCATCTTGAAGAAGACTCCTTATGAATTGTGGAAAGGTAAATGACCCAATATAAGTTACTTTCATACGTTTGGAAGCAAATGTTTCATCCACAATAATGGTAAGGACAATCCTGGAAAATTAGATCCAAGAAGTGACGAAGGTATTTTTCTAGGTTATTCATTAAATAGTAGATCCGTTAGAGTCTATAATAAATGCACACTATGTGTAGAAGAATCAGTACATGTTATCTTTGATGAAAATAACACTTCGGCCGAGAAAGGAATTATTGCAGGTGATGAAGATTAAATTCAAGAAATTCAGGAGACAAGCAAATCTTAAGAGTCGACTAATAAACCTGATGGTGTCATGGAGTCAACTAATGAGATTAGCAACAGTCAATCAGAATCTCCGAAGGAGTCAACTAACCACACAAGTACAATTTGTCCAAATGAATGGAGAAGTGAACCAGAATATCCTCAAAAGTTTATCATAGGAGACCCAAGTGAAGGAATGAAACCAGGGGAGCTCTCAAGAAGGAAGCAAACATAGCATTAATTTCCCATATTGAACCAAAGAAAATAGAGGAAGCTCTGAAAGATTCAAGTTGGTTACAAGCAATGCAGGAAGAGCTAGATCAATTTGACAAAAATCAAGTGTGGAAACTGTTGTATAAGCCTGAAAATGCTCCTCTAATTGGAACAAAATAGGTTTTCAGAAATAAGCTAAATGAGGATGGAATGGTTGTGAGAAACAAAGCCAGATTAGTAGCTCAAGGATACTCACAACAGGAAGGAGCCAACTACGATGAAACCTTTGCACCAGTAGCTCGACTTGAATCAATACGAATTCTTCTTGCATACGCATTCTTTAAAAGATTTAGGCTCTTTTAGATGGATATCAAAAGTGCCTTTTTAAATGGTTTCATTGAGGAGGAAGTATATGTAAAACAACCTCCTGGATTTGAAGATTCAAAGTTTCCCTACCATGTGTAGAAGTTGACCAAAGCATTGTATGGACTCAAACAAGCTCAGCGAGCATGGTACGAAAGACTCAGCTCATTTTTCTTGATCACGGATTTACAAGAGGTAAAGTAGACACTACCCTGTTTATTAAAAGATCATCAAAAGGTAATCTCATTATTCAAGTTTACGTTGATGATATTATTTTCAAATCTTATGCAAAGTGAGTTTGAAATGAGTATGATGGGAGAGCTAATGTTCTTTCTTGGACTTCAAATTCAACAATCTGAAGAAGGAATGTTTATATGTCAGACAAAATACACAAAGGAGTTGATTCAGAAGCTCAGTATGAGTAGTGCTAAAGCTATTGGCACACCAATGAGTCCTTTAACAAGTCTTGACAGAGATGAACAGGGAAATTCTGTTGATGAAGCTAAATATCATGGAATGATTGGCTCCCTTATTTATCTAACTACTAGTCGACCAGATATTATGTTTAGTGTTGGTAAATATAACAAGTTTCAGTCAGCTCCTAAAGAATCACATCTTACTGCAGTAAAGAGAATTATTCGATATCTCATTGGAACTGTTTCTCACGGATTATGGTATCCACGCTCTAACAATTTTAAACTAGAAGGTTTTTCAGATGTTGATCTTGCAGGTGATAAGGAAGATAAAAAAGCACCAGCGGTACATGTCAATTACTTGGAAAAGCACTGATATCCTGGAACAGTAAAAAGCAAGGATCAGTTGCACTATCCACAACTGAGGATGAGTATATCGCCATTGGACAATGTTTGCATAATTCTTATGGATGTCTTATCAATTGGGTGACTATAAACTATTTTTTAAACCCATTCCAATTTTCTGTGATAACTCTAGTGCTATATGCCTCTCAAAAAATCATGTACATCACTCTAGGGCTAAGCATATAGACATCAAGCATCATTTCATTAGAGATCATGTTCTTAAGGGAAATATAATATTATCTTTTGTTGGTACTACTGATCAATTGGCAAATATTTTAACTAAGCCTTTACTTGAAGATAGATTTTACTTTTTAAGAGAATTACTTGGTATTATTTCCATTGATCATCAATATTAGGACCTATGTGATATTGTAATATCTTATATGCCTAATGTTTAAACTTTGTCTTTTCATAGTCATTAATAGAGCCTCCGAATTCCCTCTCTTTTCCTCTGCTTTCCCATTAGTTGCAGCTTTCAAGAAAGGAAAAGAAATCATCACGCCTGTTTAACTGACACCCTTCCTTTCTTGTACCCAACCATCAGAACTCCCTTTTTAATATCTGAAACCCTCTTTCAATCCCCATCATTCCCATCACTTAGAAACCATCTCAGAAACCCTCTCCGAAACTCTCTCCAAACTGTTTACTCCATGGCTGAACACTCTAAAAATCCCTCAACCTCCACCAGGAAAAGTACTCGTTCCAGAACAAAACCCTCTTCCCAGCCTCCTGAACAAGTAGACCTAGGGTCCAACCACTCAAAAGGTTTTGCTTCCTCTCAGGCAGAACTCTCAGATCATTTTCATCCTCTAGGAGAAAAAGACCTAGGAAAAAGACCTTTGGAAGAACCCCATGAATCCTTTACTCCAAAGAAATCCAAAATAGATCTTTCAAGTTCTTTAGAATCTGGCCTAAACTTATGTGATTCTCCAAACAGGGATTTTTTCATTGCTCTGAAAGACAAGCCAATCTCTCATGGGAGAGTAGTCGACCTTGATGACATGGAAGCCCTAAATTATAAGGTAAAAAATTTTGTTTGTTTATCAAGGCTGGTCAAGATTCCTATCTATTCCCCCTCCTAAAGTCTATGAACCCCTGGTGAGAATGTTTTATGCCAGTCTTCGCTCTAGTAAGTTTGATAAGTTGGAATCCTTAGTGTTAGGAAAGCGCATCGTTCTTGATTGTGCCATGTCGAACTCAATTTTTCAGTCTAAGTGTTCTGGTTTTCCCATGCTTTTCAAAAATTCTTGGCCTGGTGACTTTGAAATCACCTTTGATCAAGCAAAACGTTGTATTGCTGAGTGTTCATTTGTATCTCTCCCTAACCAGTTAGGTCCAAGTGATGTTAGCTTTGAAACTCGTGTTCTAGCCCACATTGTTGCAACTACTCTACTCCCTCGTACTGGCTCTTTCTCCACATTCTCTCAACGAGATACCTTTCTTGTCTACTGCCTTATGACCAAACTCGATCAAACTGTCCTCCTGGGTCATAAATTTTATAATTGAAAGTGCTGATGATCCCACCAATTTGCCCTATGGCATGGCCATCAATCACATTCTGGAAGCTGACAATATCTCTATCTCTGAATATCCCTTCATCTCTGTTTCAAAATCTTACAATTCTAGGGCGTTTGCTAGTATGGGGTATGTGTGTGTGAAGGGCTCCTGAGTTAAGAAACAAGACGGTGAAGTCAAGCATGTTCAACATGATCCCAAGACTAAAGCCTCGATTTCCCATCACAGTCTTAGTAATCTTGACCTTGCTGAGAAACTGACTGCCATTGACAACCAGATGAACACCATCAAAGATCTTCTTGCTGCTACTCAGTCCACTGTTGGAGACATACATGCAATCTCCAAAGAGACAGGGTCTGATGTTTCAAAGATAAGGGTTGCAATTCTTAAAGTTAGGGAAAACGCAGGCACTCAAGGAAGTACACGACAGGCTTGATGGAGTGACCGTCTCAGCTAATGCCAGCTTTGATCAACTGAAGGAGGCAATTTGAAACACTCTTACTTATTTCTTGCATCGTTAGTGAGGAAGTTTCAAACAATTTTTTTGCTGTGCTGTTTTGGAATGGATAACCAGTCGTTGGATGATTTTTTTCTATAACTCTGCATGCCTCTCATGCATCTTATGCTATATATTCTGCTTTAGTATCTGGTGTATTCTTGTTTTTTATCCCCTCTTTTTTTATGTCAAAAAGAGGGAGAAGGCTATACATATTCGTGCAGGTACATCTATTGCAGGGGGAGTCGACTATATATCCTATAGGAGAAGTCGACTAAAAGAAGTAGTCCCAATGGCACCTATTGAGGGGGAGTCAACTGCACTCATTGAGGGGTAGTAAAATACAGGAAAATTAACTTGTGTTTATATATATTATTTTTTGTCATTATCAAAAAGGGAGAAATTGTTAGATTTTAGTTTTAATGATGAAAAATAATACAGTTGCTTTTCGTGTAGGAAATCAACCAAGATCGAAGTGCAAAAAGAGAAGCAATCAAAGCTATAGGAAGAAATCAATTAGAGATTGATTGAAGCATTCAAAATGATTGATTGAAGTAATCAAAGGAAAGGAATCAGCGTTAAAAAGGAAAAGAAGCATTAATGATCCGACATGATAATCAATCAGAAGTTATTACTGGAAGGATCCAGATTTAAGGAGCAAATCCGACAACTATCAAGACTTAAAGATGGAAAGCTGTCAAAGTTCACACATTAAGAAAGAGTAACGGAAATAAACCTTATTCTTGAAAAGAATCAATTTCTTCCAAGGATCAAATCTCTTAGGTTAGCAAATCTCTTCAGCTTCAACGGTCTCCAACAAAGTATTTATACGCAACCTTAAGACTTGGAGACATATACTTTGATCGAACCATCTACCCTCTTTTTGTTCTACTCCAAACAACAATATAGTTTCATTAGATCTGCTGTGTAACTAAGTGAGAGAAGAAAAAGAGATAAACATTGGTGAGGCATTGCATCAAGAAAAGAGAAGAGAGATATAGAGACTAAGTTATTGGTGTAAAGCTACGTCATTCAATTTGTACTCATGAAACAACGATCACTGAAAGAGAACACTCTTGCAACCCAAGGGGACTGGACTAGGATTCACATTAAATCTGAACCAGTATAAAAATCTCATTGTGTTTACTTCCTACATTTAAATTCTGCATTTATTATTATTATCTTATCATTACCTCAAGTCGACTAATTGTTGATCTAGTCAACTAATGATAAAAGTTGTTAAAAATAAGAAATTTAGCACNATGCCCCTTGTTGTACAATTAGGCTATTTCCTCGCTTAGTTGTCTACAATCATCTATTTTATGGCCATGGGTGCCATGATACTTGCATATTTGGTTTGGGTTTTTTTAGATCGGATCAGTCTGCAGAGGTCGAGGCCACCTGGTATCTTTGATATGCCCAATGGCCGATACTATGGCTAAAGCATCTACACTGAAGTTATATTCTGACAATCGAGGTGCTTCTTTGGACTTCCCTATCGAAACCACTCTTGCTCATGAGCCCTCGGGAGCTCTGTCCCCGATCATTCCTTCTATTATTTCATACAGGATTGTGTCCAGGCTTGTTATTTCTTCGATCTCTACTGTATGGCTGATATCGGTCTCTGTTCGACTGTGGTTCCCGGTCAAAGCCCTTTATAACTCTGTCCACGGGTCTGTTAGGATAAACCGAATCGGTTGGAGCCCCCAATTGATCATCCTCGTCCCTGATCTTCTATTGATACCGATTATGTACATCGGCCCATGTGACAGCTAGATATTCGATCAAATTCTGCTTCAATTGTTGTGAAGCTATGGAACTCCGATCGTTGCGACCTTGAGTGAAGGCTTGAATAGCCCAATCGTCGGTGACTGGCAGCAAATCCATTCTCTCTGTTTAGAACCGAGATACGAATTCCCTGAGCATCTCGTTATCTCTCTACCTTACCTTGAACAGGTCCGATTTTCTTATTGCAACCTTAATGGCTTCGGTGTGCGCCTTTACAAAGGAATCTGCAAGCATAGCAAATGAATCAATAAAATTAGGAGGTAAATTATGGTACCATATCATGGCACCCTTTGATAGAGTCTCCCTGAATATCTTCAGCAATACAGATTCAATTTCGTCATCCTACAATTCATTTCCTTTGATGGAACATGTATACGAGGTGACGTGTTCATTCGGGTCAGTTGTCTCGCTATACTTTGAAATCTTGGGCATACGAAACTTCTTAGGGATTGGCTTCGGAGCCCATTTGGGGGGAAGGGTTTTGTACAAACTTTTTAGAATCTAGCCCTTTCAATATCGGGGATGCACCCGGGATTTGGTCGACCCTGGAATTCTAAGTTTCCACTTTCTTATCATTTTTCTCGATCTTCTTTTCCCCAGTATCGCTTCGCTTTGTCAGTTCCTCGAGCATCTTTACGATAGCACGATTAGTCTCTAATTCTCCTCTATTCAATCTCTTTGGCACCAATTAGGCTCTATGAACAACTTATTGTGATGGCTCAATCTCGATCCTACTTGGTGCACGATTCTGATTTTGGAGTTGTGCTATTGCAGCTTGTTGAGTCTGCAATATTTCGAATATCATTCGAAGGATAATCCCGCCTTCTTCACTGCTCTGTGCGTTCTGATCGGCTGCTCGAACATCTCTGCGGATGCTATTTTCAGGATCGACGCCTAAATTATGGGAGATGACGTCGATTGGGTCCACGGCCGGAGCTCCATCGGGGTTGAATGGAGGTACTCTGTTTCCTGGGGCGGCTATGTTTTCATTCTCGCCATGAAGACCAAGGACATTGTTTGTGTATATGGGCGCTACTTGAGAGCTTGACATGTTGATCGTGGAATTAAAAATACTTCAAAGAACAAGCGTAAAATAGTGTGCGTTTCTAAAATTGTACTAGGCAATCACTATTATCCTTAGCCCAACGGTGTGCGACAAACTATTTACCCTT